TGTCACAAACTATTTACAGAGCCAGACCGAACAGAATTTCCCACCCTCTGAGAATCCCTGTTTGATTCTAGCTGCCTCCTCACTTCTGTAGAGTAGTTGTGAAATAAGTTACCTTTGGCCATGAGTCATGATTTCTTGGGTAGCATTAATTCAGCTGAGTGTATTAAACATTGACTAATGTATTATTGTCTGGAGACTTGAACTCAAAGGGGGTTCTAAAGCTTTTGTTCTTAAAATGGGAAATAGTGTAATGCTGTTAATTTTCTGGACTTAGAAATTTAATAACAAGGTTACCATTAAGACAGTTGGCAATACTATTATCTCTAAAAGTAAAGAGAGAATTTGTAAGATTATGAAAATGATCCATTGAAATAGCATGAAGTCACTAAAGAGATACAGGATTTTCAAAGCAGCCCACCTAGGCACATGAATTAAGTATTAAGATTCCAAAAAAATATCTTCACTAAATTCACCCATTTTGACCAAGTGAATAAATTATCTCTAGCAAAAGCTGTAAGTGCTGTGTGAGGAATATCTAGTAGTAGTCTTCCATAACAACATTTTCAAATGGTTACAGGCTACTAGTAAGTTTATATGGCAGTGACAGCATTAGAGAGTAATAGCAAAAATTGAGCAATGTATTTGAAGTAATCAAATTCTTAAATCCAAATAATATAGTGTACCAATAAAAGAGCATATACATAAAGGGATTGATAGTCATCCTGAAAATATTTCCAGTTGTTTAACTCTAAGGAAAGAAAGACCTCAGAGGCTTATGAATTATGAAGAAGAGATTGATAATTTATTCTCTAAGTTCATTTGGAGAAATAAATTTGAAAAGTAATAGTGAAATAGTTAACAACAACATTGATTAAACACTGGAGAAAATGACTAAAGGAGGTTATAGAGTTTCCATTTTAAAACGTGTGGGAGAGAAGAATCAATAGTCTTAGCTGTAAGTATTTGTCTGCCTGCATATGAGAGTTTTAATCAAAAGCGAAAGTGTGCATTTAAACATTTATCTAATTGACTGGTTTGTAAAACAGAGCCATAACTGCACTTTTTGTTGTATTTTATTGATTTATATTTCCATATGTAATGCTTTTTCAGGTGTTGGGCAATACTAACAGCTCAACTAAAATATATTGAAAAAATATGTTTTTATTAATTTCAGAGAGGAAGGGAGACGGAGAGAGAGATAAAAACATCAATGATGACAGAGTCATTGATCAGCTGCCTCCTTGATGCCCCGCACTTGGAGATGGATCCTGCAACCCAGACATGTGCCCTGACCTGGAATTGAACCCTTACCGCCTGGTTCATAGGTCAGCACTCAACCACTGAGCCACGCCCGCCAGGTTCAACTAAAACTTGAAGAGCTTCATCCCATTGTCATTTCATAAAGACCTTTATCCTGAGTTAGAGAGTTCAGGAAAAATAATTGAAGATTGAATTAGAGTCTCTAAGTGCTATTTTTTTCCCCTTTTGGTTGGAGAGGGTACTAATTCAGAAATTGAATTTCAGTTGGGCTTGGAATAAGGTGATGAAGATTTGGCAAGGTGTAACAGGATAGAGTAGTGTCTTAAAATCTGACTTAAAAAAAAAGTCAAAGTGCAACTTACTCTGAAATGTTTCAAAAAAATTATAAATGTGTAGGTAGGCAGATAGATACAGAGAGAACGGATAATAAAGCAAGTATAGGAAAATGTTAACATTTGGGGAATATGGGTGAAGAGTATATAGAAATTATTTGTACTATTTTTGCAACTTTTTATAAGGCTAAAATTATTTCAAAAGAAAATGACTCTTATCCACATCATTTCTTGTTACCTTTCTCATCTCTTTCCTAGCGTGTTTATGCAGTCCATAAAATATTTTGCATTTGACTCTGATTTCTCTTCTCAGTTTCTTGCCATTTTCCTGGATGACTTTAGTGTCTTCAGAGTTAAGCTTGTTATTACCCTGAGTCCTTGATTTCCTCCTCTCCAAGTACCTTCACAATCAACCCATTGTGAAGAATCAACCCATTCCCAGTTAAATCACACATTGGACTTTGTTTTTACATGTTGCTCATTTTAGAAATTTTGTATTCAAATTGTTAGATCAGTTTGCTTTCTTCAATGTATTACAGAGTCCTTGATGGGGGAGGGGTATGTGTGTCTGTTTCTTTCTTGTATTTTTGTGTGTTTTTAAAAAATACATTTTATTGATTTCAGAGAGGAAGGGTGAGGAAGAGAGAGATAGAAGCATCAATGATGAGAGGGAATCATTGATTGGCTGCCTCCTGCAGGTTGGACCGAGCCTGCAACCCAGGCATGTGCCCTAAACCAGAATCGAACCTAGGATTCTTTGGTCCACAAGCTGATGCTCTTCCCACTGATCCCAACCAGCTAGGGCTTGTTTTTGTTTTTTTTAGTATTTGTCACAGGACATATCACACTATAGGTTTCCCATGAATTATTAAGTTAAGGAATAAATAGAGGAGTCAGACTTTCTATACAAATGGTTGAATTCTGATATAGAATAATGCAATATGGCAGAGTAGGAAAGCACTGAGCATTCAAAGAATTGAAGCAATATTTGCTAAAATAGTAAAAAGAAAAAAAAGGCAGACAGAAAGGGAAATTTTATAAATCAGCCTTGTTTTCTGTAAAGTAAAATCAAAGTCTCCCTAGGAGAGTATGGATAGTCTGATTGCAGAGCAGGCTCCAAATGTCTTATGAACAATTAGAGTTAGAAATCTAAAATGCTGAGCAAGAATAGAAACATCCAGAATTAATCAGAGCCAAATCACACAGTACAGGATTTTTAAAAAATATTAAACACTTAGAATTGAAATTGAAATTGAAACACTTAGAAGTGGGTTAGGACTTGTTGAGTTCATTTTAATAATAGTAAAAAGGGTTCTAATTACTCCTGTGCAGGAGGGACCAGCAAGGAGTCCTCTTATTGGGAGCCTCCACCTCTCCTCTGACTTCGAGGTGATAGCGGGCCCAGGTGTAGTAGAGGCAGTAAGTTACCAAGAAATCAGCAAATCACAAATTTGACATTAGGTAAGCTGAAGTAAAGTTATAATTGTAGTAAGCAAATAGCAAGCATAGATATAAAGGATGGGGCAAACTAAACGGTAGAAGGTTAGGAATAAAAACTGAAAGAAGAAAGATGCTAAACTAGACACAAAAATGCAGAGGGAAAAATATGGGACAATCTGCAGATAATGTAAAGTTTGGTATGAAAATCAGGTCAGAGAGTTAAGACTTAAGATTCTGAAGCAGTTGGTATGGTGTTGGCATAAGCAACTGGGAGCGATTTATAGCTGGCATATCTTTTTACTTTTTGATGGTTCTTTGTGCCTCATAACTGGAGCATAGTATAAGCCCTAATGGTTTGTTTTTTTTTATATGTCCCTAGGGACAGTTTTTGTTATCTGATATTGCTTTCAGTAACTTACTTATAATTTCATTTGAATTACAAGTTCTCTGTGAGTGGTGAAAAGCATGGTTTGTTAATGATATATAGTGGTATTCCTGAGAGCCCATTTATAAAATTCTCATTTCAGATTTTGGGGGTTACATGCAACCAATACCAGCCTTTTCTAGAAAAACAGCATGATGAACATATAAAGCCAACCAAATACATATTTTGAAATGTCAAGAAGCAATAAATTATCTCCAGAAACCTATAATTGTTATATTTTAAACCAAAATAGAATATAGTGTAGGAATTTTATAGATATCTTATAGTATGTAATTATGATAGCACATTTTTCCAATTCATTCCCTCAAATAAAGTGAAATCAAGAATAATTTACTAAAATGGTTTCTAATCTGGCTTCAGCCACCAGAAAGACAATGCCCACGACATGGAGTTTATGACTGGCTCTAATTTCAGCATATATAAAATTTCCTCTTAAAGAAAGAATACTTTGTGAGAAATACCTTATCTATAAATTCCCCATTTTGTTTTTATTTTAAAACTACTCTCTCTGCCTCAAAAGAATTTTAAATTTGGTTGCAGGTGACATCACCAAGAAGCAGATGATACTTACCTGCTTTTTACAGTTTTGCTTTTTAATGTTTTGGTGGATATAATAGAGTTCTACTTACAATCAGTGTTTGTGCCTCGTGATCTAATTTACTGGTGAAAGTGTTTGTTTTGTGCATTTTCTTCCCCCCACAGTAAGATATACATTATTCTTTTGAAATAGCTATCATTTACTAGTTACAGCTTAAGATAATTTTTATGAGATAGCAAGGCGTTATGAAACAGATCCTCTAATGTATAACATGTATCTGATAAAATGGGAGTTAAAATAATTCTAAATATTCATCTTATAATATGATGATGGTTACAAAAATAATAGCTAACACTTATTGATGTGCAAAACACTAGGTCAAGATTTTTGCATGTATTAACTCAGTTAATCCTCACAACAACTGAGGTCATTTATTATGTTCCCATTTTAAAAATTAGACTGAGGTGTGGGTGTGTTTTCTTGCCCAAAGTTATTCACCTGGCAAAGCTGGAATTCTGATTCAGACAGTCTGGTGTTAAGAGTTCCATGCACAATATCACTTCACTATCATCACTAACTTATTGCAACCTAGTTTTCAAAGTTTAGGGGAAAAAATCTGAAAATAATACCTCTAAATTAATGCTTTTCAAGTTTGTTTGCATGCTGGAGTCATCTGATCACTCCCAGATATTTTGATTTCATTAATATAAGATGGGTCTGGGCTATTGGATTTCTAGAAACTCCTCAGGTTATTCCAACCCGAATCTAGTGTTTAAACCACTGTCCTAAATGCTTTCTCACTGTGTGCATGGAAATATTTATGGCAGAATCACACTATTCATGCTTATTAATCACAATAGGAGCAAGACTAATAAGTACATGTTTAAAGCTTTGAGAGCATTTATTTCCACAAAAATATTCATTTGAATGATTTAACATGTAGCTATGGTGTTTCTTACATTATGTGTGTTTTTATTTTAAATAGCCCAAAGTCATATTGAACATGAGGCCTCAGGGAGAAATAAAAGCACACAGCCAGATGAACAACTGACTGAGAATTCTAAAGGAAGCAAGCATCAGAAATGCAATGAATTAGTTAACGAAGCCACATGTGAGGACACACAACTGCCAGAGCAGAAGTCCAGGAATTTTCCTTATCCAGGTGGTGAGGCATCGCACTGCATTACTGGAAAACCCAAGTGAGTGCCAGCAGCCTTAGATCAGAGTGTAAGAATTGGGAGAACTCCTTTCGTCTTCCTCCCTCACTTCATTCTCCCTTCTTTATGGTGTGAGCTGAGTTTGATATATCATTAACATATTAAAATTTGGGGAATCTACCAGAGCTTTCTACTGTTTTTCATTACATCAATATGACATATCTAGATCAGCGATTTTTAACCGTTATCTTCTCATGGCACACACAAACTAATTACTAAAATTCTGTGACTCACAAAAAATGTATTTTTGACAACATGACAAAAAAAAAGGTGTGATTGTGATTCACTCATATTGGACAACTATTGCGTTGGTTGTCATTTTTTTATTTACATATTTTAAAAATTCTTATGGCACACTGATTAAAAGTTGCTGGTCTAGATTGCCAAGTGAAAAAGCACAAGATGAGTTTGAATAAAGGCCATGAGGTCTTATTCTTTTTAGTTAAATATTTTCTGTGATCTTTTACTATGGATCTGTTGAATTGATATTAATGGGATTTTCTTTTTAATCAGAGCCCAAACCTAGTAGCTCCAGAACAAAATAAGCCCAGAGATGTGGTTTTGGCTTCCATTATTATTTATTTAAATGAATTTGAATGTTTTTAGAAAGGCCTTGTACACTTTCATTTACCTTTATTATTTTACAATCTGCAGCTTTTACTTATCTTCCCTACCTATCCACGAAGGGATTTGAACTTGTGACATCTGTCACTTTTATCTATGGGATTAAGGTACTTTCATAATTAGTCATGTATTATGAAAATACTACTATATTAGAAAATTTCAGTGACTGATATATTTTCAGTTCAGATAAAATTTTCTTTTATAAAATATCTATAATAATAAAAGCATAATATGCTAATTAGACTGGACAGATGAAAGACCTTTTGGAAGTCCTTCCTGATAACCATCCAGACAAAGCTGGGGCTGCAAGGGCCAAGGCAAGCCATCATGGCTGTGAGGGCCAAATCCCTTGAATTTCATGCATCGGGCCTTTAATATTTTCATAATTTTACACATGAAACAGCTATTTCTATTTTCTTTAAAATTATTCAGTAGATATATAGATGTACCAGCTAATAATGCGGATTATTTTTCAATAGATGGAATTACACATATGTTGATATATATGTGATTTGATATGTATGCCATTTTGTTGTATTGACAACAAGCTTCAAAACTTCATATGTCAGATTTTCTGAAGGTGTTAACATCATAGATATTTTTATGTTTAAAAATGTCGAATTTCGTGCCAAAAAAAAGCATTGGTGGGAAGTTTTAATTCATTACTTTATTTTGAGGAAAAAGTTATTGTATACTTTGGGAAGCTTATGGTGAACATGCTCCATCTCAAGATATTTGTGAACTCTGGTTTAAATGCTTTAAAAGTGATGATTTCGATGTGAAGACAAAGAATGTCCAGGTCAACTGAAAAGAGTTTGAGGATCAACAATTACAAGCATTATTGGCTGAAGATATACGTCAAACTCAAAAACAACTTGCAGAAAGATTAAACATTGCTCAGCAAACAATTTCTGATCATTTACAAGCACTGGGAAATATTTTAAAAGAAGGAAATGGGCGCTACATCAACTGAACAAAAGATAAATGAGAACCGAAGTCATCAGTAAAATGTTGCTTCATCTTTGCAGACGCCACCTCCCAGCCATGGTGAACCGCACCGTGTTCTTCCACAGCGAGCACTCGGGCCCCATCTCCTTTGAGCTGTTTGCAGACAAAGTTCCAAAGCAGAAAACTTCTGTGCTCTGAGCACTGGGGAGATAGGATTTGATTATAAAGGTTCCTGCTTTCACAGAATTATTCCGGGATTTATGTGCCAGGATGGTGACTTCACCAGGCGGCAAGTCCATCTATGGGGAAAATTTGAGGATGAGAACTATGTCCTGAAACATAGGTCCTGGCATCTTGTCCTTGGCAAAAGCTGGACCTAACACAAACGGTTCCATTTTTTATCTGTACTGCCAAGGCTGAGTGGTTGGGTGGCCAGCACGTGGTCTTCAGCCAGATGAAAGAAGGCATGGATATGTGACAGCCATGGAGCACTCTGGGTCCAGGAATGGCAAGACCAGCAAGAAGATCACCATTCCTGACTGTGGACAACTCTAAGAAATTTGACTTGTGTTTTATCTTCACCACCAAACCATTCCTTCTGTAGCTCAGGAGGCACCCCTTCACCCCACTTTACTTGGAAAGTTCTATGACCTTTGTGCTCTTGCCAGTTCATTTAGTTCCATAATTTCCTTACCTGTTTCCAGTCTAGCTGGATTGCAGAGTTAATTTTCTGATTATGAAATAAAAAACAGTTGTCTGTCAAAAATAATGTTGCTTTAATGTCATGAAAGAAAGTCTTTTTTTATATCGAATTGTGTCGTGATGAAAAGTGGATTTATTTGGAAAATCCCAAATGCAAAAAATCATGAGTTGATCCAGGTTAACCATCAACATCGACTGCAAGGCCAAATTGTTTAGGAAAGAAGACAATGCTCTGCGTTTGGTGGGATCAGGAAGGTGTGGTCTATTATGAGCTTCTAAAACAGGTGAAATAATACTGATTGGTCCCAACAAATAATCAATTTCAACCATGTTTTGATTATAAAATGACTAGAATGGGCCGGAAGACATGGCAAAGTAATTTTGCTTCATGATGCATAATCACATCTTAAAACCAGTTAAAGACGTGTTAAAAGATCTTGCCTGGGAAGTATTAACCCACCCGCTGTATTCACCAGACCTTGCTCCTTCAGATTGCCACTTGTTCTGATTGAAGGCACACACACTTTCTGAGCAGCACTTCAAAATGTACGAAGAAGTGGAAAATTGGGTCTCTGAATGGTTTGCCTCAAAACAAGAAAAGTTCTATTGGGACCCTATCCACAAATTACCTGAAAGATTGGTAATTTGTAGCTAATGATAGACATTACTTTGAATAATGCACTTTTGATGTTTCTTTTGAAATTATCATTTTTTATTACAAAATCCTCATCATTAACTGGTATACCTAGTATTAATATGTTCCTGCCACTTGGCAATGAGTTATATTCTTACTGAAGTACAGGTCAGAGCACATTTTGGGGGAGTAGGGGTGAGTGAAGAGGTGACAAACATCTTATAACCACATGAGAATAGTAGAGGTGGGGCTAAAGCCAGAATGTGAGAGATTGAGGACAGTTTCAACAGAAGATGCACACTGTAAGTAGAGCTGCACTGACTGTCCCAGGCCTCACTGCTTACTTTCCTTTTAAAAAAATATATTTTATTGATTTTTTATAGAGAGGGAGGGAGGGAGAGAGAGAGGGAGGGAGGGAGAGAAAAAGGGAGGGAGGGAAGGGGGAGAGAGAGAGAGAGAGAGAGACATCGATGAGAGAGAAACATCAATCAGCTGCTTCCTGCACACCTCTACTGGGGATGTGCCCGCAATCAAGATACATGCCCTTGACCAGAATCAAACCTGGGACATTTTACTCCACAGGCTGACGCTCCATCCACTGAGCCAAACCAGTTTCAGCTCATTGCTTACTTTCTTCTGAGAGATTCTAAAATGTAACTCTGTTTACAAATATAATGCCATAAAAAAACTACCCATTGCTTTCCCCTTCCCTTGCTTTATACTACCTGCTAATAAATTGACATCTTCTCAAATAGCATGCAAAATGTAAAAAAAAAAAAGATGTTTTGCTTACTGTTAAATATTACAAGAAAAAGTTTTCATATTTAATATGTTGTAAATTTAATGAAAATATTACATTGTCAACAAAATTGAGAGAAAATTCTGATTACTGTTCTCCCTTTAGGAAAGTGAAAAAAGTATCTAGTCCTGACCAAAAGTACAAATCAAATTAATATTCACAGCCCCTAAAACCTGAATTCTTTAAGTACACAAAACCATGAGTCTCTATAGATGTTACTGAATGCTTTTCACAGATTTACCTCTTTCTATTGACAGAGTAAAACCTCTATGAAATTGATATATTTATTCTTTTCATCCATAGGATTTACTTAGTGCATAAAAAGGGAAATTTAAAATTAAGTAACTATATATTTCTTCTTAAAATTAAATTTGTCTCTCCCCATTTCAAGGGTAAAGTTTATAGGTCCTGTATAGTAGAAATTATATGTTTATGTTGTTTAATAAATATTTTCTTTATTACAGCAGTATGGAGCATACAAATAATGATTTGCATTATGAATGTATGATACCTGGTCAAGTTACTTCAGACTTAGATAAAGAGAATACTATTACATTTCTTCAAACAGAATTGGACATTCTCAGAGCAAGCCATAAAAAGGTACCTTATAGAAAAACCTAGTAATTGTACAGTGTTTTAGCTGTTGACTTTCTAAACTTGCTTTGCTATCCATCACAGTTCAGTTTTACGGTGCATTTTTAAACTTTAACAGTAGCTTTAGGTTGTTGCCATATCATGCCATCAGGCTATGATTGAGTTGAGGATTGTCTGTAAACAGCAATTTTTTGGTTGTCTGCCTTTGCTGGCCTATGGTATCGCTTCCTTTGTCATAAATCTATGATACTTCAAGTAGATACATGAAAAAAAAAAGATCAATTAAGGTTTTACTGCAGTAAAACTTTATTTCAGTATTTTGGAGAATGAGGAATTCAATGCACTACTTTTCTGGGTTTTTTTTGAGATATATATATATTGATTCTTTAAAGGGAGGAAGGGAGAGTGATAGAGTTAGAAACATCGATGAAAGAGAAACATCAATCAGCTGCCTCCTAAATACCCAGTAATGGGAATGTGACCACACTCAAGGTACATACCCTTGACTGGCATCGAACCTGGGACCCTTCAGTCCGCAGGTCACGCTCTATCCACTGAGCCAAACCAATTAGGGCAACAGCTTTTCTGTTTTTATTAATGTCTTCGCCCTATATTTCACCTCAAAAATATATGTATTTAAACTTTAAAGTACCAGGGTTTGGCAATATCATAATTTTTTATTGTATACTCCTGTATTTTGTCCAATCCAAATTGTTTTTAAGTAGCAATTTCTTTAAACATTAAATACGTTACTAAATAACTAGAGGCTAGTGCGTGAAATTTGTGCACCTCGGCCTGGCCTGCACCCTCTCTCAGTCTGGGAGCCCTTGGGGAATGTCCAACTGATGGCTCAGGCCCACTCCCCATGGTGGGGGGAGGAGTGGGCCTGAGCCAGCAGTTGGACATCCTTAGTGCCTCAGAGGCAGGAGAGGCTCCCGCCATCACCACTGTGCTCACCACTGTGAGCCGACTTCAGGCTGAGTGGCGCTTCCCCTGTGGGAGCCCACTGACCACCTGGTCGCAGCTCCTGCATTGGGCATCTGTCTCCTGGTAGTCAGTGCGCATCATAGTGACCAGTCGTTCCTACTTTCAATCAATTTGCATATTAGCCTATTACTATATAGGACGTTCACTTTTGTATGCCTTTTGTTTTTTTTTAACCTCTTCACACTTGTCTGATTTTAATATTTTGATATTCTAGTTGTTGTTCTATAAAACTGAAGCATGATATTAGGAATGTTGCTCATATTTGATGGAAATCAGCACAAATGACAAAATCTGAGGGAGGAATGTAAAAAAAAAAAAACACATTTGGAGGGATTCCATGTGAGAGCTGTAGATATTTTCTGTACTTTCATTTAGCAGTTATTTATTACATGCCAATATGAATTAGGTGCCAGTGGCAATCTCAGTGGATTATGATGGGCTAGCATTCTCCAAGGGAGATCAGTTTCAGATACTAAGATTATATCTAATTAATTTTGTTTCAAAATATTAAAAATACTAAGAGGAGCTAAAAAGCTGTGCTGTCCATTATTTATTTAGAATAGTCCCTCCCAAGTCTTTGCCTTTAAGACAATAGAATTGATCAGATTGCTTTTTGCTGTATTTATTTTTAATAATTGTGTTGTTCCCTCTTTAATTTTATTTGCCTGAAAACACACACACACACACACACACACACACACACACACACACACACATAAAATGTATATCATAATGTTTTTATAGTTTTTATGTCATTTCCCCTGAACAAACAAGAGGAAATAATGATTATTTTATTATTATAAAATACCTTCAAACCTTAAATATTGTGTGTGTTTTTTACTCCCTGGAGTTATGTATTTAGGCAGTTAAATGTAACATGTTTATATTAGAAGAAAACAGAATTTTACTTTGGGATTAATTATATTTGTGGAAAAAATTTGTCAGATAAAAATCTATGTGTTTTTTCCCCCCCAATATGTTTAAGCTTCAAGAAAAACTTTCTAAAGAAGATAGAGAACAGAGAAAACTAAAGCTTAAGTTTGAACTCTATGAGAAAGCAACAGAAGCTCAAATTGCTGAGAAGACAGCAGGTATGGTAGATGAATTGTAACATATAGCCTTAAGAAATATGCACAAGGTTATTGTATTATGTGGCTTGGTGAATACTAGCAAACTAGCTATTTGCCAAGGGAGGGAAGCTCTGACCTTTTTTTTTTTTTTTTTTTGGCTGCTTAGAAAATAGGTGGCTTTAACATCCTGGCTCTGGTATTAGTGAGAGCTTTACCTGTATTCATACTGATTTGGGCATTAAATGCATTGTTAACACCATGTCAATCCAATCACAAAAAGGTTGTTTGTTTTGTTGGAAGGGCCTGAACAAACAAGGGGAAATAATGATTACCAGTGGCTCTACCTTCCAACCAGCAGTTCAGATACCACTTACTGTTTTAGCTCTTTGAGAGGAAATACTTCTCCTCTGTATGAAGATAGCAATATATCCATTGCCAGTGAAAACCTACATTTCATTTAAAAATCCGTTTTGTGCAATTAATAAATCTTTATCTGATAATGTGGATGATGATAGAGATAATGTTTTCTTGGAGATTAAAGTGAAAGGTTGCCAAAGTTTAAGATTATAAACAACTCCCTTAGATATATTTTGTGGTCTATATTTATTTACAGGTCTTTGTGAGGAGAACATTTTTAAGTATGTCTGTAGTATATTACAAATGTGATCAGATGATTGTTAATAATTGTGATCTCTCATCTATATACACATATATGCCTCTGTGACTCTAACTCACACTGTTCTAGTGTATTAAGGAAAGAGAAATTTCATAGAATAATAGCAATTAACATTGCAGAGGCATTTTAGAGATTATTTTAACATTTTTATATCAATTTAGAATGATTTTAAGGAATAATTATATTTTGTGACTAATTTGAAGTTATAATCATACTTTATAAGCCAATTAATCTTAGTTGCATATATGAAAAAATTATGATCAGAGATATTAGCAGATACAGTCTGTCTTCAAAATATTACTGTACAGAGTAGAATTAAATATCACTATGAAAATATAGGCAAAATGACTATAAATAAATACTCCAGCTAAATATCAGATGATTGTTTTTCTGTTAAACTACCATGATTTTTTAGGGTGGGGAAAATAAGGGAGTAATGTATTTTAAGGAAAATTAACAGTATATTAAAAAAAATGATGCATATATAAATTCAAAACAATTTGAAAGTTTCTTGGCTGTTTAGTAGAAAGATATTACAAGAGGTACATTTGTTTTAAGGTGCTTGCATCATAATTTAACTTTGTATGTGTCTTAGAGAAGATATTTAATAAGATTTAGGCCATTGTGACTGAAAATTATGAATTAATATGTCTGCATAGCTCTTGGAGGAGTGGAGTCATAAAGCAAAATTACTTACTCTTTAAACTTTTGTATAATCATATACTTTTGTGTAATCATATACTTCAAATATTTATTTATTGGTATATATTTAAGGATTCCCTTTGACTAAATTATGAATCATATATGCATTAAATAGGAAGAATTTGATTGCTTTATGATTCTTATTAATCAAATATTTATCATTAATGATATTTTAAGGAAATATTAAAATTTAGAAACATGTTTAATATGTTTTTATAGCCTCCTAAATTGATGAAAATAATTATGCTATGTAGTTTCTCTGGATAAAGCAATCTAGTTTTAAAAAAAGATAACCAATCACTTAGTTTTTAAAGTATAAATTTTTAAAATGTATCTTTACTTTATAATGTTTCAGTTCTATTTTATTGGGGAAAAAAGATTAAAGATGCTTTACTTGTGACCTTAGAGAGAATTATTATTGTAATATGTGAAAATAAAAAAATCTGAATTGCTCAAGAAAATCTTTGGTTTGAAGCTGCTAGAAATTTATTAACTGACCCTTAGTAGTAGACTCATGAATTTTTTCATATTTTCTCATACATACTGTTGTAAATAGCTTATCTTTTACCTATAAGAGGCCAGAAGGCAAAACACCATAACATAAAACAACTATGTCAGTATCTTAACAGAAAGGGGAGCATTATAATAAGACTATAGTTACATATTTTATTTAGTATGATAAAATCTCAAATGGTTGCCCTAGCCGGTCATATGAAAGAATAAATAATCAATGGATGTTTGTTTCTATCACTGATCATTTTCATATTTGAAATAAAAAGTGTATTTGGTAAAGTAAATTACAAATATGCACATACATCTAAGTATTATAATATACTTAAGCAAGATGTAAATATCTTAAAAGTCAAGGCATTTCACATTAAAAATATAAGTGCAGAAACATCCTGAACTACACATTGGAAATTGCAACTGGGACACAATTATAAATATATGTCAATAGGCATTTCAAATAAAATTTTAATAAAATGCAGGTACTGAAGGAAATAGTTTTTTCATTTGAACATATAAAGTATAAAGATTTGTATATAAAGAAATTCATATATGAATGTTATTACAGGAAGAGAACCAAAAATTAATCTATTAAAAAGAGAATGGTTAAATGAATGAAGGGGCATTTATGTGAGACATGGAGTAATTAAAATAATGAGGCATGTTTGATGAGATGAGAAAATGTTTATGATAATAGTAAGAAAAAGAAGTAGGGGAAGATTGTATTTATCATATAATAAAATATATATATATATGAACAGGATGTCTCAAAAAATTGCTAGCTCAATTTTGAAAATGGAATGCATTTTAATAAATATTGCATTTATAATTATTCAAAGTGTGTGCATACATTTTGGGGGGACACCCTGTATATATGTGTATAGTTTATAAAACAAGAGGCAGCCATGACCAGTGTGCCTTCGTTGGTTGGGCGTTATTCCACACGTGGAAAGGTTGCAGTTCACTTCCCAGCTTCAGGGCACATGCCTTGGTTGCAGGCTTGATCCCCCATAAGGGGCATGTAAGAGGCAGCAGACCTAGTATCACTCTCACTTGATGTTTCTCTCTTTCTTAAAAAATAAACAAAGAAAAAAATAAAATCAGCCGAGACCGGTTTGGATCAATGGATAGAGCGTCAGCTTGGGGACTGAAGGGACCCGGGTTCGATTCTGGTCAAGGGCATGTACCTTGGTTGCAGGCATGTTCCCAGTAGGGGGTGTGCAAGAGGCAGCTGATCGATGACTCTCTCTCATCGATGTTTCTCTCTATTTCTCTCCCTTCCTCTCTGTACAAAATCAATAAAATATATATTAAAAAATAAATAAAATCAATAAAAAAGAGGCAAATTTTGGTAGTATTAAGGGATACATTAATGTTTCAATCAACAGGTTTTCTCCAGTGAGCATGGATTAGATTTTGTATTAGGAAAAGTAAATGTTATTTTTAAAAGATGTGATTTTTTTAAAAAAAAAGTTACTTGCTTTCTAATCTTAAAATAATTCCTGTGGATACGTTTAACATATAAAGGACACATAAAGCAAACTTTTATGAAATTCATATGATGCCTATGATTAAATTTTGCCATCCTACGCATGCCATTTTTCTTTCATTTCAGATTTGCCCCTTATTTATTTTTGTGTCTTTATGTGTAACTTATGTACATATTAATCATCTTATCTTCCCAGCTGAATGTATAATTTCTAAGAATAAGAATCTTGTCTAGTCAGAACCACATAAAACAAAAGGTGCCCAGTTCTGTGTGAGGCAGAATGTAGTAATGGAAAGACTAAAAGCCTTGGAATCAGATTGACCCAAGTTTTGATCACAGCTTTGACTTAATAAGGGTAGACTTTGGACAAGTTATATCTGGAATTTACTTTCTCCCCTGTAAAATGTGAATACTATTTTCCCAGATTATTTTAAGGATTAGAGAGAATATATAAAAATACCTAATATATACTTAGTAAATTATAGGTAATATTAATATTTGATTATTTTTATCTTTATTATGACATTCTTAAACTTTTGATAATGTAAAAAGTTTTGAAGTATTTTTTCTATTTAACTTTTAATTAAAATTAATGGTTTACTGTTTATTAATAGAAAAGTGAAATTTAAAAAATTGGAAATAAAAGATCAGATGATGAGAATAATTACTGTTGAGAGATATGTATTTATCAGTACCAATGTGTACTATTTTCATGTGAATCTGAAATAAAATAGATGGGATACAGAGAACTTGGGATTTAATCTAAGGTGCATCTATGATAAACCTTCATTAGACTGTTGTGTTAGCAGGAAGCCCGTTTCCTTTGCTTCCCTGATGGTGTTTACATGATGTGAATTCTGTCATTTGAATGTAATCTCCTGAGAGTTTGAAACAGTTGTGTCCTTTATGTTAAAATCTCAAATGGTTGCCCTAGCCAGTTTGGCTCAATGGATAGAGTGTCAGCCTGCGGACTGAAGGGTCCCAGGTTCGATTGTGGCCAAGAGCATACGCCTAGGTTGTGAGTTCGATTCCCGGGGGGGGGGGGGGGGGGGGATGTGTGTGCAGGAGGCAGCCAATCCATGATTCTCTCTCCTTATTGATGTTTCTATCTCTCTCCCTCTTCTTTCCTCTCTAAAATCAATAAAGAAATATATTAAGAAAAAAAAATCTCAAATGGTTAATCCTTTTACCTTCCCCTTCTTTACTGACATCACCATTATCATTGATTTTTTATTAGGCACTGTATAGGAACTGTGCTAACTTTTTAAAAATTCAAACAAGAAATATCTATTGAGGGGTTGTTATGTACTAGGCACTGCGTTAGACAGTGAATGTACATCAGCAAATGGACATATGTGTAATTTCAAACATTCTTTTGTGTGCAGTCACTTCTTACTCATAATAGTAAGAATAATGAAATTATTCTTTGCAAGTAGATGCAGTTCATTGCTCACACTTTCGATTCAGACCTTTCTTTTATTATTATTGTTTTTAGCTCTTATCTTGTGTAAGTTACAGCCTTCCTAAACTTTGGCTAAACACTACTTTATAGGTTGCTGCGACGTTTAAGTGAGATAATGTTTATGAATGCTTAACCCATTGAAGGCACTCAATAAGTGGTAATTACGATAAGATGATGATATCACT